GCTTGTTGAGCTGTTGAAACCACCAAATCGATCGCATCCAGTGTTGATCATTGTGTATACCTTTAGAATCAATAGAAGAAGGCGGACCACGTCCACTTTTTCTTTTTGTTTTCAAGCTGAACGGGCCCTACATACATATGCTCAAACAATTTAGTTTGTCCAATGAACTCGAACCATTTTAGCAGTTGTTTTGTAGCATTGCTGCAAATTTCCAGTGGAATATATATTTGTTTAGGTACTAAAATTTAGGTCAACTCGCACACAGCCTTATTTAATAGTGAAGCTAACTAAATCAACAAAACCAAAAATATTCAAATATCAGATTTGCTTTTCGAGGATTTGTTTGTGTGTGCGTGTTAAAAATTCAACAAATTTGTGGTGTTCATATTAGTGAGTGTTTTGCGTAGAATATTTTTCAAAGTCGTCGAAAGGTCATTGTTATCACCCTTTTTTTTGCAACCCAGTAACTTACTCATGTAGGACTTTATAACATACATACTAGTTTGTCATAGAAGAAATATTTGTTACGTTTTTTTAGTATTAAAGCCAAAAACAATTTTTATTTTACGAAGAATTTTCGTAATCGTGAATTTCAGACTCTCACCCAATGTCACTTCGTACTTTGCCAAGATCGCAAATTTTTTTCAATGTTTTTGATTTTGTGCATTACGAGTGTGTCATCACTGCAATTGCTTTTCAAATTCACGCTCTGCTGACCTCACACATGTCATGTAGGCCAATCGGATAATTTTGACATTGCACTTGACACCGGTTCTCACTGAAACATTTATAATTACATTTTTTATATAGTTTTTTTGTTTGTTTTTATTACATTTCTAATGCTAACATTTACAATGCTAAAATTGCCTGATGGTCAATTTTAGCGCGAAGTGCTAATTATTCGTTTTTTATGCATCAGTGCACATAAGGCTATTGTTTCAACACAACAAAATTAAAATTTGGAATTGAATTTCTTCGTGAAACTGCTCAATGAAAAATGTAATCAAATGTTTATGCACCATGTTATTTAACAATAATGAAGGTTTGATTAACACTACGTAGTGGTTCGACGAAAAAAAACTGATACCTACACCGCGCAGTCTAAGATTCGGCCGATCTAGCTGCTTTTAATTCTGCCATTCGAAAACTATAAAAGATACATAGATTAATGGAATTTTGCACATGATACGGCATAAGATAGGCGAAGCATTATACAAACCCATTGGCCTTTTAGGCACACCACTCATATAAATGTAATTTTTTAAATGCAATAGCTGAGATATTTAAATAACTACAATAGCTACAATGCCCAAAACTTATAGTTGAAATCGCCTCATAGCAATGAGCGCCATCACTGTCGAAATTGGAGCGTTTTTCTAGTTTTTTTTGAGACCCTTGAAGAGGCTTTCTAACTTAGCACGTCGGTTAACTTATACTTAAGTTACATAATTACTTACCCAAACATTTCCTGCTTTGGAATAAAACGTGGCTACAATTTTTTATATCTTTGAAAGCCTTTGAAGAACTTTGGAAGCACTTGGAATTGACTCGATATATTCCTGTTTGTGGATAGATATGGAAAATGTGATACATATCGATAATTCAATGAATTTCAAAAACACTAAAATCCGATTACTCAAGAAAACTCGATAGCTCGACTAATTTCCATGAAGCTCGATAACTGAAAAATGTATACATGTACCTCAACATAAATCGAGAAATCGACAAACTTTGGATACTTCTATAAATTTTGATAGCTCAGTTAATTTTGATAGCTCGATATTTTCCGTAAGCTATCGACAAACTTTGATTACTCGTTGCACTCTGCAGTGATACTCGTTGCACTCTGCAGTGATAAACAGTGATAAATCGATAAACCTATATAACCTTGAAATTTTGAAAACTCGATATATTTTGAAAATTCCACAAACTTTGTTTCGTTAACTCCACAAATTTCAGTAAATCAATAAATATCGACAACCGATAAGTTCAGTAAACTTGATGGATTACGATAACTCGATAAATCTCGTTAACTCTATAAATTATGATTATTGAATAAATATCGATAACATAATAAATTGCATTAGCTTGACAAATTTCGATAGTCCCATACAGTTTTATAGCTCGATAACTATCCTTAAATTCTGACAATTAAGTTTCTATGTCTATAAAATACGGCAACTCAATAAACATTGATCAATTTGAAGAATTCGATACGTTGCGATAACTCAATAAACATGGATAACTCGATAAATTTCGTTAACTATAAACTTCGATGATTCGATATACTTCGATAACTTGATAACTTTCGATAACTAAATTCTTCATGATTGAATTTATTTCGATTCCTACCGAAAAATTTCAATAAATTTTCTTACCCTTTCAGTTACAGTAATTCTTATGCATTTCATATTAGTGGTATTCGCGCTTCTGTGTAGTCGCTGTATCCTGCGTAAGTGTAACCGGACGAGCGTGTGGTTGTTGTTGCATGTGTATTTGATGTACCGCTAGCAACTACAAATGACACGCTCATGCAGTTACGATTACACAACATACAACGGATACACATAAGACTGAATTCCCCTATTGTTTTAATTTTCGTCTTTATCTTCAATTTTATTTGCACTTTTTGTCTTAATCATTATCATATATTTCTTCATCATCACATTTATCTTGATTACAAATTTTAAGTACCAATTCGAAGAAAACAAAAATGCGTAAACATCTCAAATTGAACAACAATTATACACAATTTTTCGGCCATAATTTTCAACCAATTTTGAAACCATGAAAAATCTTCTAATCTAAGGAAAAATGCCCTTCCAATGGTAAAATTGGTTTGGTACAATCACCAAAGCGTATTAATATACATCCAGTCACTCACAGAAGTATTCGTAAATTAGTTTTATCACAATGTTCAAAATGTTTTCCATCATAAATATTTTTCGCTAATTTTCGTTTAAAATATAGCTCATTCTTTACCAAAAACCATATAAATCATTCTGCAAACTTTGTACAAAATTCAAAAAAATTTATCAAACTTAAAAAAAATTTCATTAAAATTTCAAACTTTTATTCAGAGTTTTTAGAAAAATTTTCAGTATGCAGTTTTGTAGCCCGTTCAATTTTAGTACAATAAAGTGCAAGTTTCAAGTAGCTAAAAATTACTGCTGAATTTTTAGATTTTTTTTTTGTCGAGGGTGTTGCGCATTTTCTTCCATATAAAAACTGATTTCGGTCATGCCTATGTATATGTAAGGAGGACCTGATACATATAAACTTTTTCGGAAATGGGCGTGGTTTCGCTTACTTATGGTTGAATTAAACGTAACAAAATTCTGTCTGGCTCAAAATTTTGCACGAAGCTTAAGTTCATACTACTTAAAGCTGTCAGAAATGGGCTTAAAATTAAAAAAAAAAATCCAATTTTTATGCGTGGCAAATATCGATAAAAAGTCAAGTTTGGTCAACAAAATTCCTTATACGATCACTATTTTTAGCTCTAATTACAAAAATTAGATATCATTAGAAGGGCTATAAATCAGACTATATATCTTCAAAAAAATGTAAAATCACCTAAATTTGTCTCGGTCTAGATCAAATGGAAATGAATTACTTAAGGAAAATGAAATTCCCAGTTGGCTTGAAAAAAAAAATTCTTCAAAACCAGCACTTTTCAGCAGCTAAAGTCATGTTACTTTGGTACGAATTTTATCGCAAAACCAACGGAAAAAACTATTATTTATCAGACACTCGTT